TTGATAGCGGTTTGCAGCAGCAAAAGAAGAAGGAAGTATCTGGGGTGCAAGTTGACAACTGACACTAGAGCCTGAGTTATCTAAAGACATCAACAGCATTGATGGTGCCTTCGAAAATATCCCACATGATACTTCAATGCTGGCATCATCCTCTAATACATCCACATTATTCCCTCATGTAACCGAACCAACTTCTCTGTTTCCATTACCAACAGTGCCCCCATTATGCCCACAGCCAATTTCTACTTCTCTGGTGGGCTCAAGTTCCAATGCCATTGTGATAATAATACCAGCGCTAGGCGCATATGAGTGTCATAGGCATATTTTGCCTTGCCTAGGGGAAAGGAGCTGCACACCAGTCCCCAGCGCTAAAATTCCCAAGCTATCCACTTTGCCACTTTTCTCCCATAGCACGCTGCCCGGTCTGACGCCTAGGTATCTTGTCCTCCCATGTCCTGCCTATGTCCACCCTACCTCCGCTGGTGCGTTATTAGTCCTTACTTATCACTACTGATCAGTTGCAGGTCTTATTACATGTATCCTCATGTTCCACAGTGCTACATGTCTTATTACCTGTAGGAACATTGTGCTCTCACCTGTGTTGCTACTATTCTCGCCTACACATTCCTGAACTCTTATGCAGTATGATAAAATGACCCGTCACACATACAGTACTTTACTTCCCTTCCCCGGACCTTTGCTGGTGTGTTGGAGTCACCTTAGTCGCTATATCTCAGTCTTTGTGCAATTGATTCCACTCTTGCCAATCTCTCTGATTGCATGTCACTTGCCTTGCTTTAAGTGCGCATTGCTAAGGACTTCCTCTTAAGTTTGACTTTCGCAATGTTAGGATCGCTATTAGTAGTTTGTGCTAGGCTCACTCGAAGTTCACATGACAGAGACTATTGGCAGTGGCCGATACACACACCTTGCATTTGTGGCTCTTTTGCGGGTATGTCTCATATACTATTTACTGCTTTCAACAGGTAACTAATTCCTACTAGCAATACATCAACAAAACGGTCGAGAGTGACAAGAACTGGAATTTTCTGAAGTTGCATATGGGCTCACACATTTTTGACGATGTCGAGGCAAAAGGAGAAACACAAAACTACAATACCAAGCTGAACGAGAAGATGCATGGCTCATTAAAGGACTCGTATTTGCTGTGCATGAACTTTTGTGACGTAGCAGAACAGGTGCATTTCAATTTTAAGAAAATGATCTATTTTAATACTGCAACTTGATTCAACATTGACAGATCCTCCATATTAATATGTGGCAGGTGGCTGCAGATCATATATGCTGCCACTTATTCAAATTTGACAATCATCAACACCAATTGGGAGAAGAAGACTTCCTCGCCACTGTCATTGAGCGCCCTATCTCAACGAGCAACTCCTTTCATGTGAAACTTGGATCGAAGCAACATTCACTGACCTTTGATGCGATTCAGATGGCTCATCAAGCAGACCAAGCCTTCAGTAATTTCCGTGTCAAGCTTGATAATTTTCTCAATGTTCTTTTACCCTCATTGAGCATACCGTTGCCTAAAGGCAAACATATTCATCTCCAAGGAACTGATGAGGTATGTTTACCTCAGTTTGTTTTTTGCTGTGCTGACATACTACGCACAGATTACAGAGCACTGCTTTATTCGCATCAACTATGAATCGATGGTTGATTGGTGTCAACATACAGACTATCTTTGTTCCAACCCCCGTTTCTTTGGTTCACCACACTTTGACTGTGTCTTCATTCAGCTGACAGAGAATAAAGTCATTCTTGCCGGCTGGTCTTCTGTTTTGAATGTCTGGTTGGGAATAACAACATTTCCCCTGGCCCTTGTTCACCCTTTTGACGTCCCTACTGGTGTGCGCACTCGAAAGGAAAAAGGATCTCAACCTTTTCAGAGTTCATGCAAGACCACAAGCACAGGCACAGTTTTTTCCTGTTAGATCATTCATAGGTGGGGCCCTTCTGGTACTGGATTGACCTTCTGATTATTTTGGAGTTGATACTGCAGATACTGACATGTTTCTTTGCATAAAGATGATGAATCTGGAGGCAGGGCACATTGTGCACATTTGATCATTTGTCTTATTGAGAACCTTTTTGCTTCATTGGCTGCCATCATGGACACCTTTAGTTCTCAACTTCAACTTAATCTGACTAATCCTTTTACTCCTGCCAGATATTTCATTACCAGATTGTAAGGTATGTGCTATTGACTTTCATCAATATGTCACAGAACACTGATTATACTAGTAGTGCAGCTCCCTGGACCCCTACCTCAATTACTATGGCACCCTGTGCAAACCAGCCTCCGCAATCAGGTTCAGCTTCAAGGGCTGTACCACAGCATATCCACCCTAGAAACAAAGATACTAAATGAGGACCCTGATGATTTCGTAGATGAAGATCATGTCATTCTCCAAGGATTCAGACGAGGACACAAAGTTGGCAACAAAGACCTCCAGCAGCAAAAATGGACAAAGCTGATCTCAGACCATAAATGGCAAGTCATTCTCCAGTTTTTCATCATATCATTGATTGAATGGGTATTACAGACTTGCTGATATGATGCATGATCTGATGGAGATCTCCCTCACACCGAGCATTCCAGCTTCCCTCCGGGTAATCCCAACCAAGTACAATATCATCATTCATATCTGGACCCACGCATTCCACAAACTCCTGGAGGCCTTAGGTGTGCCTCATTTTTCTTGCTGTCATATACCATATTCCCGGGTACAGATCCGAAGATCCGATCTAATCCTTGTTTCATGTCCTGTTCATATAACTCTAACTATCGTTCATCTCCTTTCAGCATTCCTGTACACCGGTATACCAGTTGTCCTTTACTTCCGTTATGCTTACTGATCCGCTACACTTACTGATCCGCTTTAGCTTAGACTTCATTCCCAGTTATGATATGTTATCCATCCGACATACCAATATGCTGTACACATACTTTGCTTATACTTCGTACATAGCCTCGCACCTTTGCTTATTGATCATTCCCTTAGTTATCCATAGTATATAAACCCTTGTACATGCGCTGTAGTAGATCAGTTCGAATATAATCTTAGATTGCACTCATTCTGTCTGGACTCTGAGTCCCTCCGTTATCCGTCCGGACTTGAGTACGATACTCTTGTCTACTCCGAGACTTAGGATTGATTCCTATAGTCTATATATCCGTCTCTGTCTTCGGACAGTCCTCGCCCGTTAGTTTCTAGTTCGATCCGATCCAGATTAGCCGTTACTATATATGTTCAATATCTGGAAGCCATAACGGATCCGTTACGAGACTTATCCATCTCAATATACGCGATACTATAGTACTCTGAAATAAGGGGCAAGACTCGGGAAAGGGGCACAGCGCACGAGCTGAGGCCGAAGCCCTTTGGATCCGATACTACTTGAGCATGGTCTTAACACTCACCCTTGCTCTTGAACACATCCAAGGTTTTATATATTAGGCCTACACCTTCTACACCGGCCTTCTAGAGGAGCTGTCTTTGCATTTGTTCCATGTGAAAAACACAACCTGACTAGGCACTTGTTAAGGTACTCAGCCAGTATATGTCTAATGCTCTGCCTATGCTGCTATACTTGCAAACAATAAGCAAGAACGTTCGACCTGAGGGAAAAGCTACTAAGGACAACTTAAGATAGAAAGACCTGAAAATAGCGCTAATGTGCGGGAAAGCGCATCACAAGATACTGTGCTAGTGCACAGGAAAGTATGTCGCAGCTATAGAGCGCTATGGCGTGAGAAAGGCGGAAGTGCGTGTCGGTAGATGGTCGCTATCAGATCGCTAATAGGTCGGTAGTGGAGTGGTAATGCATCACTATAGATAGGGAGTCTAAAGAGTGTAGTGGATAGTGAGTGAGGTCAAGGGTATTGATTGCAAGGGTAAGGGAAAGTCAAGGTAAAGAGTGCAGGAATAGGGAAACCAATAGGGGGCTATAGAGCGCAGCTAAAGGTGACTACTTCTAAGTAAAACCTAAGGAGAAGGAATTACAGTCAAAGGGGAAATAATGTTGAAGTAATTACCATAGGCTTCTTATACTAGTAAACTATACTATCTTAGACTCGGAAGGGATAGGATATACATGTAATAAGACTGTAGCACTTGTTACAACTCGAGGCAAGGTAAATTACATACCAATGAGGTAGGATAGACAATGGATGGATTCCGATGTTTTGGGTGGATCCTAGAGCATGAGAACAGCGCGCTGGATAAGCGCTAAGCGTGGGAACAAGCGCTAGATAGAGCGGACATGCACTAATGCTCCTATAGACACATTGCTGGTAGTTCTGATAGTGCTATAAGCGTGGGAATAGCGTCGGATAAGTCGCGGGAGCATGAATAGTGCTGCAGGAATGTGCGCGCATAGTGCAGGAATGTGCGCGCATAGTGCAGGAATGTGCGCGCATAGTGCAGGAATGTGCGCGCATAGTGCAGGAATGTGCGCGCATAGTGCAGGAATGTGCGCGCATAGTGCAGGAATGTGCGCGCATAGTGCAGGAAAGTGCAGGAAAGTGCGGAATAAGCGTCGGACAAGGGTTATGGCTGAGACAAGTGAAGACTGCTGATAGGGGAGTAGTGAATAATATGAGGGATAACTTTGGTCCACCTATTGAAGGCTTATGCAGGTATACATGCCTAGTGCCAATATGATTGTCACACCAATCAGGCTGGCTCAAGGCTCTTGGCAATCTTGCGTGAAATGGACAAAGCTGATCTCAGACCATTAACGGCAAGTTGCTCTCCGGTTTTCATCATGATATCATTGATTGAATGTGTGCAGACTTGCTGATATAATACATAATCTGATGGAGATCTCTGTCGCACTGAGCATTCCAGCTTCCCTTCAGGTAATCCAAACCAAGTACAATATCATCATTCATCTCTGGATGCATGCATTCCACAAACTCCTCAACCTCTTGTGAGTCAACTCTCCCCATCTGATCGTCAACTGCCGCACCTGAATTCTTCGTCCTTCTACACAGCATGCTATTCACTAACATCCAACTTGACAACTTTTTGCCAACCCTTGCTCACTTCATTGAGCACATCGAAATCAAGGGAGCCAAGGAACACGAGTGGATTATGATGGCAGGCACAGGTGGTCCAGCTGTAAAAGTTGCCAAGAAGTGTCAAGTTGTGCCCGCATTCCGCGACAAAGACAGAAAAGAGAAACAGATGGACGTGGATGATGAAGGCGCCTCACAAGCATCTCCAGTTCTATCGGACGCAAACACACCTACAGAGTTGCCAGTGTCATTCAAACTGGCATTGGAATTTGCATTTTTGATGCTCTCATTCATTCTCCACAATCCAATGCAGAAGGCCTCACCTTTTGCTTGTTCGACCTTAGATCTCAGCCATACCATACCTTGGCATGATCTTGCACAGTTTTTTGCCACCACCCCCCACGACATCTTTACTGCACAGGGATTAGTCATCCCAACTGCTGGCCATGAGGGGTGATCAATGCTGACGAGTGGTTGTGCCCCACCTCTCTCCAAAGACTGGTGCCTTCATGGGATGGAGTGGATCGGTCAAAAAGTCTTTAAGCGTGGATACTGGAAGAGCAGAGAGGAGAGATGGATGGAGGTGGAGATCCTGGATGTGGAAGAAGGTGGTCAACTCACCGATGGGATTATTGAAGATGAAGATGACGAAGAGGATGGCCACTCCCATAGCTGTGTGGTTTCCTTGTCAACAGTTGTTGATGGGTTCACCTGGGTAGAGGGCACATGTGAGTGGAGGGTCGAGGGCGTATTGGAAGTGAAAGTGATGCGATGGCTTGAGGGTGATCATCATGAGCATGAGGAAGAGGAGCAGAGACAATGTGGTTGTCATTGGACTGACGACTGTATGGATGTCAATGTCGATGATGAAGACGCTGATGAATCATCAGAACAGAGTGAAGATGATGAAAATGATTCTGAGGAAGTCAAGGATCTCAAGGTGAGTTGTCTCATTGGTGATTCAGACTGACATTCTTGAAGAGCTGGCACTGCATTTGTTCTGATCTAATGGCTGGCTCCATGAGGCTCTTGGCAATCTTGTGCTGGCTGCGGAATCTACAGTCTAAGATATTCCACTTCAGGTGAGCCCGCTCAAACAATGTCTCGCCTACCTCATTCTGAGCATCATGGCAGGCTATCCTACTCTTGCACTAGATCCTGATGATATCCCGTCAACTAGGAGCTCAAAATGTAATATTCCAGCCTATGATTTAGATATTACATGCTGATTATTACTTCACAGTGCTGATTTCATTTGTTGTATCATCAACGGTCACCTCCAGGCTATCATGCCCTCCTTCGAACCGATGTGACAATCATATTGGCGCTAGGCATGTATACCTGCATAAGCCTTCAATAGGTGGACCAAAGTTATCTCTCATATTATTCACTACTCCCCTATCAGCAGTCTTCACTTGTCTCAGCCATAACCCTTGTCCAACGCTATTCCCACACTTTCCTGCACTTTCCTGCACTATGCGTGCACATTCCTGCAGCACTATTCATGCTCCCATGACTTATCCGACGCTATTCCCACGCTTATAGCACTATCAGAACTACCAGCAATGTGTCTATAGGCGCATTAGTGCATGTCCGCTCTATCTAGCGCTTGTTCCCACGCTTAGCGCTTATCCAGCGCACTGTTCTCATGCTCTAGGATTTCACCCGAAACATCAGAATCCATCCATTGTCCATCCTACCTCATTGGTATGTAATTTGCCTTGCCTTGAGTTTGTAAAAAGTGCTACAGTCTTATTACATGTATATCCTATCCCTTCCGAGTCCGAGATGGCATAGTTTACTAGTATAAGAAGCCTATGGTGACTACTTCGACATTACTTCCCTTCAACTGTATTTCCTTCTCCTTTCTCCTTATCTCCTTAGGTTTTAGGTTTTACTCAGAAGTAGTCACCCTTTAGTTGCGCTCTATGGCCCCTATTTGACTTTCCTTACCCTTGCAATCAATACCTTTGATCTCACTCGCTATCCATTACTCTCCTTTAACTCAGTGTCTGCTTTCTTGACTTCCACTCTTTCCCACGTGTTAGCGCTCTATCTTGCGATGCACTATTCCTGCGCTTTAGCGCTCTTTTGGGTCTTTCAATCTTGAGTTTTCCTTAGTAGCTTTTTCCCTTGGGTTGGACATTCTTGCTTTATTGTTTGCAAGGATAGCAGCATAGGCAGAGCTTAGACATATACTGGCTGAGTACTTTAACAGGTGCCTAGTCAGGTTGTGTTTTTTCACACTGATAGTCAGAGCATAGGCATGTTTTTCTTGACACTGCTGATACAATGCTACAACTTTGGTTGCATCAAGCACAAGGCACAATAATTTACCTTATATATGGTGCTGTCATGCTGACCATTTTCTCATCTCCTTGTATCTATTTAGCACCTGGACCATGTCTCATTTCTCTCAAAATGCATCTGACTCAGATGATGAATGGGACGCAGAGCTTATCGTTGAATCTGTTGCAATTCTGGGACCAAATGCCTCAAAGGGAGACTTCATGGATGTAAGTTTAGATGTCACTCAATGTACCTATCGAACTCTCCTCTTACTCTAGGCACTCAGGTGCTGCAAATCCAGGTTCAGAAGCTCATTGAGGAAAATCGCACTCTTTGTGAGGAGAACAAGGTTCTCGTTGCCAAGAAGCCCAAATGCAAACATTGCACAGAAGCTTCCGACGAACTCCTGGCCCACGAGCAAACAATAACACTTTATGCCTGTAAATACGGCATGACTGTTGAAATGTTCCCTAACACCAACCTTTTCAGCAAACAACATCCCGAAATCCAACTCCATTCAACAGCCAAGACCAGTACTTGACGGCAATGACCCAGGAATCAGCATTTTTAGATGAACTATTTCAGCACTTTCCTGATCGCTTACATGGCATCATGGAAAGTTCATACTTTCAGTGATCTCGTATGTATCACATGTTTCAATACTAATTGTTGAACTAACAATCATCCTCCAGGTAATGAAGTCCGTTTACGAGGCTCGCTCATCGGAAATGAACAAACTATGTAGCGTTGCGGGCAATATATTCAACCTTCCAGGAGTATACTTCAGCAATACCCAGTACTGCAGAGCCGACGTCACAGAAATACAGAAAATGCTTGGAGTGTCAGCGACGAATCCGAAGTACAAGACATTTCCCCGATCCTGTTCCTTGGAATGCAAGAGGACCCTACCTTGAAGACTGTGATCGGAAACTGGGAACTTTGGCTAAGGTATGGGTTTTTTTTTCGGTCAATGGGTGTGTTATTTGTGACATTGATGTATCTCTGATAGATTCTGAAGGCTGCACTTTGCGGTGTTATTTCACTTCACCCAAAGACCACTGGTGGACCAGAGACCAATGCCCAGTAGTGGAACCTTGAACACGTTACACCAGGATCTATTGTGTGTGTGCTGCATTGTAAGTTATTATCTATGCTATGTCACATGTTCTCCCTCAGTCAATACTATTGCAGGCAATCTTTTTGCTATCACCCGATACTGAATTTCAGAAGTCGGGCACAGGAAAGTCCTCCGCATTAATTACAAGGACCTGTTCTTTCACTACAAGAAACTCTTGCTCACCAAGTGGGATAGCCACCACATCCAGACCATTGTGCAAAACATCAACTGAGAAATTTTTGGCTCTGTGAAATCTTCTGCTTTTGCAGCCACTCAAGAAGATCACTCCAGTGAAGTCATTCATGTAATCAATATTGATAGCAATGAGTCAGACATATCTGAACCTACTCCGTCTTCTGCAGTCCAGGGTACCACTGCCTTTCAGTCCAATACTGTCGAGGTGGCACAGCCTCCTGCTGCTCTCAGCACTGTTTCATCTCTTAGTACCACCTCCACTCTCAGTGCCACTTTCCGAGCTACTGTTCATGCTGATGCAGCAGTTCCAGCAGCTACTAATACAGTTGTAGTACAGGATGCAGATGTGGAACGGCCACCAGCTCAAGGGAGAGGAAGAGGAAGGGCCAGGGCAAAGAGCCTGCAGCTACAGGTGTTCGACGCAGTAATCGTGCTGCTTAGGATACTATTAGTAGATATACTAATCTTATTTCATTTCATTTGTAATGTTAATTCTAGCTTTGATTCACCTTTCGTGCGCACCAAGTCTTATTAGTGATACTTGATATTGTCTTATAGGTAGCCAAAAAACAATGGTTCAAATAGAATTAAGTTACCCTATATAAAAAGACCCTTTAGCCTAACAGTTTTGTTGTGTAAGAGTCCTAAGTATCATGTGACCTTAAGCTTAAACTAATAACTACTACACAGTCGAGCGTTCAAAACATGCCAAGTACAGACTATATAATAGACATGTAAGCATCAATACAAACTGGATAAGATATTGTAAACTAACAAACAAACATAACAGGACCTGATAAGCATAAGCTAAAGATAAGATAGCAATGTAGCAAGGTGATAGAAAAAGGGGCTTGTAAGATAAGGTCAGTATTCCAAGAAGTGGAACATGGGGGCATCATTACAACTGATTGCTGTATAAACAGCCATTACAATGACTAATATTGATTTGAACACCCATTTCAATTACCATTTACAATTGGCATTGCAAACAGTCATTGCAATGCCCATTACAAGACACACTCTATTATAAACTCTATTCAAGCAGCAGTTTGTATTTAAAATTTTCATGCTTTGTAATGCATTGAAAGCTAGATTAGGAATTTCTAACACACTGCATAGCCAAAAATCTAGTCCGCTTTTCCCAAAGGCTGATTATGCTGAAGCTTTCACTTGCATCTACCATGATAGCCCCCAAAGCTCTTCCCCACCCAGTAGCCTTTGTCCCTCATCGCCCCAAGGTACTCATATGTCATCCCAAATATCAGCAAAGACTCAAATGAGATTCTGGCAGCATCTGTCTCTTTCTCTTGGCACCATGACTTTTCACATGCTAATCGAGCCAGTTCACCTATGAAAAGGTGGGAGCCTGGGCAACACCATTCAAGGTGGATTTCACAGTCCAGCTACCACCCTTATTTCCGCACAAAACTCCCCCCACTCCACAGGCAGAGCACAAGATAGCAAGTGTGATGGGAAGACTCATTAGATGACTGTAAGGTGGTGCTGCAAACATGTTTGTTTCAACTTTCGACTATGTGTATTGATGTATTTGTTTTTTGTTGTCTGTACAGCTTGAACTATGATTACCTTGAATGTAGCACTTCGTGAACTTTGTTTTTTGCCTTAAGAAGATTACTATTATGGACACAGTACTGAACTGATTATCAATTGATTGTCATTTCTGCTCTTGACCACAATGCCCTCAAGCTGGACTGTGCCCTCTAGATGAAGAGTTTTGCAGGTGAGTGCCTTGGCTCTGTTGGTACTCTGGCTCATGGCAACATGACAGGATGTGCCTATCATTTGACAAGCAGGACTGAATATCACAGGGACACTCATCAGCAGATAAACTCAGCTGTGTGTCAGAGATACCAGAGTCAATGAACACACCTGAATTGCCTCCTCACATCAATCCTCCCCCTGTTTTCTTGCACAATGGCTACAGCTCAATACCACTAGTAGTATCAGCCTGAGGGTGGGAGCCTTTACCAAGACCATCACTTTTCACTGGGGAAGCCCCTTGTACTGCAGGACCTGATCGAGTCCATCAATCATTTGCACCTTCAGGTGACACTGCATCTTGGTATCATATGGTGTATACATATATGCCTCTTTGTGGTGCAAAAAAATCACGCCAAGAGTATACTGATGGTGTTGTATATGTATGTCTTATGTTTACATCTTTCAAGTTGCACTTAATTATACATTCAGAGAGATGAAATGACAGGGATCCAAAAATCATCTACTCAGGGGTACCAGCTCCCTCCTATTAGATCCATGAGGGAGTCACTTGCAGCAGATTTAGAGACACACACTGAATGCTGCTACTAGTAGCACCCCCCAGTCCACTACTAGTATCCTTCAATCCTCTGCATCAACTGTTACTGTGGCCCATTACAGGTC